GCTTATTTGCAGCCTGAATTCGAAAAATAAGTTTATTTTGAATTTTAATAAACTAAACGTTCACCGAAAAACTTTAGTGAGAAAAATCGAAAAAACGAACTACAAACATATTAACGCCAAACATTCGGTAGAATTTATAGAATATTGTAAAAATTATGGTCTATTACCAACATATATATATATATATATATATATATATATATATATATATATATATATATATATATATATATATAATTATTAATATTATTATTTAAAATTGTAGAAATTTTATGAATTTTAAAACCACATTTCAAACCAGTCACTCTTCTATGCTTATCTTATTTCACGTGTTTTCAATTGTAAACATTGGGCGATAGTTAGGGCTTTTAGGTCGAAACTTTAATCTTAAGAACTTCAATTTAAATCTAAATAATTGAAAACAGTCTCCGGACAAGAATGAGCAGCCCGTCGCCATCTTTAAAGAAGAGAAGAGTGAGTAAGAAGCGAAAGTCATCATGGCGGAAACATTCCTCCAAGAAGGAGGTCGAGGAATATTTGGAGAATAAAAGACTGGATGACAGAACTGGGTGTCATAATTTTTGCATTTTTTTATTCTGCTTCATAATTTTAAATGAAGAGCAAAATTGTTGACGGGTCTTGTGCTCCAACCCGTCCTGTGGCCAGCCCGCCCTACCCCCATCTGAACTTCTGATGCAAATTTTTGCTTTTAATTTTAATTAATTTAATTTAATAGTTTAATAATTATTTTAAAAATGTTTTAAAGCTTTGAATCAGATTGAATAAAATTAATGATAAAATTTTAAATATTAAAATTAAATATATTTTCTTTTTTGGAATTTGTCTACAAGAGATATTGTTTTGTTGATATTTTTGATACGGTAATACACAATAGGATGTTTTTTTGGTTATTATACAGAGCGGTATACGGTGTACATATGTAGGCATGTGCGAGCGTGTAAGAGTATAGTTGACTCTTTGCAAATGAGAGCGTTTGTTGGTGTAATTAATTTTTCATGCTTTAAAAGAGCCATTCCCTTGCTTAACACACAAAAAAAGAAGAATTATAACTGATTGGTTGAATTAAATGTTTGGCATTGTATGAAATTTAATATTGAGATCTTCTTCGAACTTTGTGGCTGTCAACCAAGTTCAAGCCAGGCAAGTTCTACCTTGCAAGCATTATATAGTAATAGTGAGGTGCGCATTGGGGCATTTAATTTTAGCTTCAAAAAATATCTATTGTGGGGGTGGCAGTCCCGTATTCCCCCTCCTCTTGGCATGCCTCTTTCAATGTGTGACTTAAGATTGAATACGTTGGGATTAAAACATTGGCTTGTTAAATTTCAATAATTTTTTTACTATAAAAATGTTAATTTTAGAAATATTGTGACCGAAATAAAATCAAATCAGATGATTAAGAGTATAAAATTTAAATGAATAGTTATTTAATGAGTGTGATGTTTTCGTTGGGAATCATTGAGTTTGGTTGAAGCAGTTATTATTATTATTATTATTATTATTATTATTATTATTATTATTATTATAGAGGACCAATCAGTGAGAAGGATGATGAAGAGATCTTTTTCTTTGGAAAGGAAGCCACCAAAGGTTGACCATGTTGATGTTCATTCATTCATTCATTCATTTACTTTTTCATTCACTTGTTCATTTTCATTCATTCGTTCAATCATTTATCCATTTTTTACTCGGTCGCTCATTCATTCTCTCACTCACCCCTGCAGAGGAGGTGCCAGATAGGAGGAGCAGACGGCAGAGTAGGAGTGCGGAGTGCCACTCATCAATTCATTCACTCGATTCACACATCAAACCAATTAAGAGGTGGTGATGATGATGATGGTGATAATAAGAATAATAGTAATAATATTATTATGTAATATTTTATAATGCCCTATACATAGCTTATTATTATTGTTATTATTATTGTTAATGTTAATAATATTAATCAGGACACTGAATTACACTTGTCTGTAGTAGTAGTGGTAGTAGTTGACTTTATTATTAATATTATAATTATTATTATTTTTATTGTTAATTATTTTTATTATTGTTGTTAACCTAGTTCTCGAGCGCCGAAAGAAAATCCAAAAGCGAAATTGTTCGAACTGAAGTACAAAGACCCGCTGGATGTTGACGATGGTGGTGAGATGAAGTTTTACGACATATGGCATAAGAAAGATGGTATGTTATGGAGGAAATGGTGGTGGTGGTGATGATGATAATGTTGCTTTTTTGTTCTTTCATTCATTCACTCATGCATTCATTTTTTGTAGTTTTCAAGGATGATGTTGTTGGAGTGTTGTTTTTTTCAATCAATCAATTAATTATTCATTTCATGATAATTAGATACTAATGATAATTCAATCGGCTCGGCCAATCAGCTTCATTGTTTACCGATATTTTTTTTTTAATCCATTTTATTCACAAAAAAGTGAACGAGTCAGCCTAGCAATAAATGCTTATCTAGGGTTCACTCCCATAAAAACAAAATATAGACATATATTATTAGAATAAATTAGAATAAATTAAAAATAGATTCCGGGTTTCCCGAGGGAGATGTCTTCGTGCATAGTAGGAGAGTTTGTAGGAAGATGCCTATTAAGGTGATGATGGTGGTGATGATGATGATGATACGTGGTGATGATGATGATAATGTTACGAGGTAATGATGATGATGATCGTGATGATACATGGTGATGATGATGATGATTATTTGTTTATTACGTCATCACTTCAATCGTTCTGTCATTCTATAAAAAGCATGACAGAACGATTCATTCTCTTCCCCATTCACCCATCATTAATACATTCACTCATCCACTGTTTCTTTGCCCGTCAATCGATGCATTCTCCCTTTATCTATTTGTTCATTTAGTTTTCAGTCGATCATTTATTCATCCTTATTTATCCGTTGGTTCATTGTAGATTCATCCATCCATTCACTATTCCATCCATGCATCCATTCACTCACTATCCCATGCATCCATCCATTCATTCACTAACTCATCCATCCATGCAGCCCCCTCGAAACTTCGGCAAGAAGAGCAGTGCAGCCGGCGCCATCCCACTTCCTCACCCAGGGATATCCTACAATCCATCCTTCCAAGATCATCAGGTTGGGTGGTTGGATGGATGGATGAAGGAATGATTGATTGAAGGAGTGAGTGAATGAATGCATGGATGGATGAATGATTGAAGGAGTGAGTGGATGAATGCATGGATGGATGAATGATTGAAGGAGTGAGTAAATGATTGCATGGATGAATGAGTGGATTAATGAGTGATTGAGCGAATGCGTGTATGGATGGATAAATGATTGGATGAGTGACCGAATGCAGGGAGAGGTGAATGAATGCATTGATGAGTGTATGAATAAATGAATGAATGAGTAATTGAATGAACAAATGAACAACTGGGAAAATTATGGTTTTGGATGTTCAAACGATTCTCTTTGAAGGAATGTATGGATGAATGTATGAATGAATGAATGTATGGATGGATGGATGAATGATTTAGTGAGTGAGTGGAACAAATGAAGATTGAAACTGTGGGTATTCAAATGATTCTTTTTTATCAAATGAATGAATATATGAGTGAATGAAATAGTGAATTGTTGGATGAGTGAATTGTTGGATGAGTGAGGAAGTGAATGAACGCAGTTGTTTGATTAGTTGGCTGGCGGCTGGTCTTTCAATCTGAGTAAGTACACACACGCACACACACACAAACACACATGCACACATGCAGAAGGTGTTGAGTGATGTGTTGGAGGCGGAGTTGAAGAAGGAGAAGGAGGAGAGGAGGATCTACAACGCCACTGATGCCATGTTCCCCACCAAGGATGAAATGCCCACCCAGGTGATGATGATGATTGTGGGGTAGTGATGATGATGATTGTGAAGTGATGATGATGATTGTGGGGTAGTGATGATGATGGTGGTGGGGTAGGAATGGTGGTGATGAAGATGATGATTGTGAAGTGATGATGATGATTGTGGGTAGTATGATGATGACTCTTTTTATGCGTATGCTAGTCTACGAGTTTGAATATATGACGATGACGATGAGGACGGTGATGATGGCGATGATGATGACGATGATGAACACCCACTCGTCACCGTGTTGGAAGGAAACCTGGCTGGAGGAGATGTCGCAGGGCTTGGGCGGCATCATGCCGGGCAGATCAAACGACGACGAAGATGACGACGACGATGATGAGAAGGAGGGCAACAGGATAGGGATATCACACAACGCGCCAGTCAGGAGAGATAACAAAAAGACGGAGAGAGAGAGGAAGAAGATGATGAAGGTGAGAGTGGCGGAGAAGGAGCTGAGGAGGAAGAAGAAGATGGAAGCTCTTGAGAAGTCGGAAAAATTCAAGTATGCAAAAATCACCACGTCGTGTTGTATTTGGTGGCTTAGTGAGTGGGGTGTTGGCAGGGCATCGAACCAGGCATTTTTTTCTTTTCGGTTTACGGTTTTGGTTCATTCAGCAAAATGAATTTCGGTTCGGTTCCGGTTTTCGTTCCTGAAATAATATCGTTTTTTTCGGTTTTCGGTTTCGCTCCGAAACTTAATTTTTTCAAGCATAGTTTCTTAAACGCATGTAACGGACGTACGAACTATCACCACAATGTCAAATTGAGTTAAATTTTAGATTGTGAATAATACGAAATTAATAACAAAAATTATTTTTAACATATAATTTTAAAAGACAAAATATTATCTAAATATTTTTTTAATGACTTTGACAAAAATATTTCCTTTTAGGTTTTTAGCATCGAACCGTTATTTATTTCGTTACGATTTTCGGTTTCGGTTAAACTAGCAAACAATATTTCGGCTCGGTTACGGTTTTTGTTCCGAGCAAAATTTTGGTTTTTAACGGTTTTCGATTACGGTTCAGTTCCGGTTCGATGCCCTGGGTGTTGGTGGATGTGCTGCTGAACTGCATCATAAATTTGTACAACAAATAAGCCAGCTACATGCTTAAGTAGATAGCGAATGATTATTCAACCAACCATCATCTTCATCTCCCTCATCATCATCATCTTCACCATTATTATCGCCATCATCATTATCATCATCATCTCCTTCACCATTTTTATCATTGCCACCATCATCATCATCTCCTTCATCATTATTATCATCACTACCATCTTCACCATCCTCATCTCCTTCACCATTATTATCATCACCATCATCTTTACCATCACCACCACCACCATTAGATTGAAATCCCTGAAGAAGCAGCTGCACCGCCAAGAGATGGAGAGAGCGGCCAGGAAGACGAGGAAGGAGTGGATGAATGAGAAGAGGATGATGACGAGGCCGAGAAAGCTGGGCAAGTCCAGATTCGTCGAGCCACAACCACCAATCAAGCTGACCGACGAACTCGAGGGGTCGCTGAGATTGCTGAAGGTGGTGGTGGTGATGATTGTCGTGTGGTTTGAATGGTCATATATAGTGATAATGATGGTGATGGTGACTGTGATGATGATTTCACAGCCGGAAGGTCACGTGATGAAAGACCTCGTTGACAGTTTGCAGAGGAGGAACATGACCCCTGCTAATATTAGAGGAACTGCTAGGTTGGTTGGTTGGATGGATGGATGGATGGATGGTTAGTTGGTTGGTTGAAGAAGCATTTTTTTTATAAAAAAAATTATTTTTATTGTCGTTATAATAATTAATAATTATAAATTACTATTGATGAACATCAGTTACAATATTTAATATTTATTTATTTGAAATGGTGCAGGAAGCCGAAGAGGTATAGGCCGAAGGTCTTCGAGAAGTCATCTTATAAGGACGTCGATAAATGATTTGGAAGATTTGTGCGTGTGTGTGTGTGTGTGTAATTATATGTACCTGTTTGTTTGTTGGTTTGTGTGTGTGTGTGTGTGTGTGTGTGTGTGTGTGTGTGTGTGTGTGTGTGTGTGTGTGCTATATATTATTTCACGTTATGTTTTTATTTCACGGTGGCCTAATTTTCTGTTATGGTAATGGGATGTTGATGCTGATGTGATGTCTGCAGTGTAATTATAAATTATAATATTATATATAAATATATAATATGTAAATTATTTATTTAATTATATTATTAAATATTAATGCCTGGACAGTTAGCTCTTCATACTTGTTACGCAACTGAGAAAAATTGAATTTTTTTTTTGTATAAATTATGGATTAGAAATATTTTACCCCTGGGTGTGTAATTATTATTACATTATTATTATTACTATCATTATTATTAATATCATTGCTGTTGTTACAGATTATTTATTAAGAGACAATTCAATAAAATTTAAAAAAAATAAAATTAAATAAAATATCATTCTAGTGGTCATTGATTGAAATTAAAAAACAAAATTAATGTAGAACCGTTCTGATCGCTTAAGTTTTTGCTGACGAAATCCTCACCGACAGCCAATGTGGTTCCTAATGTATTGGTAGTTCTTAAAATACAAGCCTGACATGATCATACTTCTTAACGTTCAACACCAAATTAGGCTGCTCCATCCTGGCTAGACTGAATCGTCAAAATGGAGTTGACTTGTGTGGCAGACCGTGAGGAATACTACTACAGTACAATAGTCCGGTCTGGAAAGAATAAACTCGTGAATGAAGCGACATTCTTTGATTGGAAGATCACTCGCCAACCTCTTGTCGAGTCATCTTCCAATCTATTTCGATTTCTACATTTGAGAAAGTCAAGCGATGGACCAATTTTTTATATGACCACGCATACGCAGTGATAATTTGAATCAATAAAAAGACCAAGACTTGCTGTTTTCGAGAAAAAAGTTTTTAAAAAATTATCAATTAAAACTAATTCTTGAAAGCTGTTGCCTCATACCGTCAGGGAAAATTGTGACTTGAATTGGTCAAGTTCGAGTTTATCTACTGCGAGTTGACTTCAACCAGCCAAATGATCTGCCAGGGTTTGTCCGAAACGAATAAAGGTCCGGGGCGATAAGTTGAAAATCATACGATCATTATGTATATATTTTAAAGTGGAAGTTTGTACATATATAATTATAATTTATAATATATTTAACGTATGTATGCCTTACATAATGATTAATAATATATGGATTTAGCTAGTTGGAATAGTCAATCCTATATAAAACTAAAGAAGTGACAAGAAGGTGATGAGTTGGATCATCAAGAAAAGTTTTTTTATTCTACATAGATGAAAGTAAGAACTTCTAAACACTATTAATCTGAAAAGAAAGAGACAGGCTAGAATCAAAGACATAGTCTAGTTATTAGACGAAATTTGTGAGAAACATCAAGAGTTTTAAAATCAGGTAAGATAATAGGAGGAATAGTGTTTATAGAGTGTTTAGATTTATTGAAACAAATTAATTCAAATTTAGAAGGATTAAGTTTAAGACACATAGCGTCAGACCAAGCGATAATTTAAGAAAGACAAAGAGATAGATTATGAAGAACACTATTGAGATTAGATGGAGGAAAAGAAGTATAAATATAAGAATCATTAATTTTTATTGTTCTATACCATCGTTCAAACGAACTCAGCGGTTCGTCCATGGAGTTGTAAAATTTGTTGGAAACAATCATTACCTTACAATCTTTGTATCTAAGAACCCGTAATTAGATAGACCTTTGATCATTTCAAGGACCAATCACATTGCACGGATGTTATTTATTCATATTAAAATTAAATTCCAATTACAATTTAATTAATTAGAGATAATTTTTCAAAATATTGACAAATGCTATTGTCAATTTGCATAATATCAAAATAGAGGACCTTTGCTTTAGGAGTTTAAATAATCATTAAATATCCATCTAAAGTGAATGTCGATTGTTTGACGCATGCGCGCCGGCTAGAATATCGTCGCCTGCCCAACAGTCGAACTCACACACACACACACAAGTTTCCGCAATGTAACACCACCACAGAGATCGCTCGTTTAATTTTATTTTTTATAAATTTAACCATTTTAATAGCAAACTAATCGTAATTATGGTGTAGCTAACGGCTGGGGGTATTTTAAATTAATTAGCGGCTCCTGTTTGCGTTTGATTGACTTTTGTTTGTTTGATTGTTAGGCTGTGAAGAATTTTTCATTATTGAAACATCTGTTCGGTTGTCTTCCAAGGTAGAGGGGTATTTCTTGCAGATTTTCAACCTCCTAATTTTAGGCAGACCCACCAGAGGAGCCCGAGATGTCGCAGTGGGTGAAGTACGTTGTAATTTTATTTATTCATCTCGTTTTTTTAATTTTCTTTTGATTTTCTTGTGATTTTTTACAATTTTAATTTGTTTGGTTTCTTCTGTTAAAGTAAAAAGAATGTGTAAATTGTTTTTGTGATTGGCTTGCTCAAAAAGTTTAAACGATGATCCACAATTAATTCATTCCTAATTTTCAATTTCGTTAACCAATCCGCACCAACAGCTGTCATTTTTATCATATCAATGTTTATTTGCTTGCTAATATAACTTGTAAACTTCTTAATAAATTCATGATTTATTTAAAATTCAGTTTCCTATATGTCTCATAGAAAACTAATTGATTGAATCAGACAATCAGTAGGCGTAAATTTAAATATTTAATTGATTATATAATAATTATTATATTATTCTTCTTATTGAAATCTAATGGAGTGTTATTCATTTTTCATGTTTATCATAAAAGTTTTTTATCCGACCATCGTTAAAACTTTTAAAAAATATTAACCTTCTAACTAACCCAACATATTAATTTTTTTTTGTAAAATGTGACTTAAATAATGACTTGTGACTTTATTAAATGTTAAAAAATTGAGGTGATCTATTAAAAAAGAAGCATTTTTGTTTTTTTCGCTTGATGATTCAAGATCATAATTTTAAATTATAGATCTTGATTTTTTATTATCTGCATAATAATAATTATTATAATTATTAATAATTATTATATTATATTATAATTATTATGTATCGCAACTTTTTAATAATTTACCGCGGTAGATAGGAATAAGTTGAGGCAGTAGTCGTCATCATTTTTTTGGTTGAGATTTATGTGATATAAAAATAATATTATTTAAATATCATATCAGTGATACCAAAATTAAATAATATTATTTTTATGATATGATATCAGTGCAACAGAAATTAAATAACATTATTTTTATAATATGATATCAGTGAAACAAAAATTAAATAATATTATTTATATATTACATAAATCTCAACTGAAAAAAAAATCATATCATATTATCCTACCCATAATGGATGGTAAATGAGGATTGTTGATTAATTGATCGTTTCGTCACTGATATCATATGATACTAAAAGATATCATATGATACTAAGAGGCATCCGCAGTGAATCTGAATATTTATAAGATGTTATATTCTTATAAGATCTACGTCCTACTTCGGGGAACCAGGACTCTGGACGCAAAACGAAGATTGATTCTTATAAGATCTATTTTTTTCCATAAATGTGATTGTGAATTGTTCTATGATAAAGAATAATTGTCATAAACAAACACAATAACATTATCGTATTTTTAACAAACAATCATCCTAAATCTTCAATCACCATCATTATTATTATTATTATTATTATTATTATTA